GTTTTCAGGTTTGCGGTGACTGAAGCTCCCAACTGCTCCTTTTTTTCTTTTTTCTTTTTTTATTCTGGGCCAGCTTTAGCTCTGGCTCCAGCTCTGAGGCCTCTGCTGGGTTCTGTAATCAATCTCTGTATCAACTCCAGCTCTGAGATCCTGGCTCGCTGAAAGCAGCTGGCTTCTGGCGTGTTTTTTAGCTTCTATATTTGTTACAATGTTCAAACTGCAGGCTCAGAGGCCTGCAGCAGCAAGCGGGAATGTTGGTTTCCTCTGTAACTGAAGCAAGCAAGCCTCATGTTAGTTTCAAGCTGCCTGGCTGCCGGCGGCCATCTTGGCTGACAGTTAATTTACATATCTTGCTGATTAGCCAATGGGAAAGGTAGCGGTCATACGCCAATTACCATGTTTCTCTTTTATTAGATAAAGGATAGATATTTCTGCCAAGATCTCTATTCCTGTGAGCTTTCAAATTTTTGTGAACTTATCAAACATAGAAATGCGAAGAATTATTTAGTGGTAACCCATAAAAGACTAAAAGAAGGAAATTATTATATTGGCTCTAAAAAATATTGATATGGAAAAAAATTAATTACCGCATCAAAAGGTTCACCTGTGGCTGGTCAGTAGTTTCCATTCTATTAACTTGTATAGGCAGAAAATCAAAGGAGGGAATCAATCTATTTCCCTAGTACTGTGTAGTTTTCAAAGAATGTTTATATGCCCAAACTATTATTCTCTGAATTTTAAAATTATAAAAGACACCAACCCTTTAGATGTGCAGTTAATTTGCAACGATATTCATTGTTGAATCAAAGGTGATGTTAATGTTTTGTGTATTTGTTTCAAGGCTGGAAATTGAATCCAGTTGTGGGTGCCGTCTACAGTCCCGAATTCTATGCAGGTAAACAGTTTCTGTTTTGCACGATGTCTTCTTGTTCTGTTCTATCTGTGCTTTGCCTGCCAATAAAGAATGGGTTTTGAAAAAAAAAAGAAATGGAGCCAAGTAAATCCTTAAGTTCTGGGTGATATTATGTACTTATTATTATTATTATTACTTTTTTTGGCAAAATCAAAAGTGTTTAAAACACTTTGAAAAAATAAAGGGGGATTATGTCAGTTCCACTGTGGAGCAAGCATGGAGTCACTGCTCCTTATGACATTTCCCATTGGTTTTGCCTTAAAAAAAAGTGTGGATACTTTATGCAGATGCATATTGAGCAAATGTTCACGCCCATTTTTGGTCAGTGCCTGGATGTGTTCTTTTAGCCATACATTTCCGTTTGGGGTCGCATTTCTTTTCCCCTGGCAAAGCAGAGAATTGAAGTAGTTATTCCAATAGTGTGGCAATGAGTTGGAATTGCCAAGAGAAGGACTATTGAGAAAACTGGAAAGAACTAAGTTGTCTTTCTTTCTCCATTGATCAATTTTCTTCAGTAATTCCAGTGCTCTCTGCTTTGCCATCAAGGGTGTAACTCTCTTCCCCCTTCCCTGCCTTCCCTGCAACTACCTCTCAACTTGGAAAGACACTGTAGTAGAAAACTTGACCATCAAATTCAGAGAGAGAGAGAGTAGCCCAGAACAACAGTGGCTGAGATTTTGCTTGGCTTGGCCTGTCACTTCTGCCTGTTGTGCCCTTGCTCATTAACAAGGCTGCATTTAACACCTGGGCACTGAGGAGATTTGCCCCATGGGTATTGGAAAGAGGTCTTTCTTTGAGGTGACCCTTACTTTTTAATAAGGAGAAAGCAATGACCACTTGGTCTGCCCACTTACTTAGTGAGTTCTTGACGGTAAGTCATTCCCCCTGCTTTGTTTTTTCTGGGATGCCTCACTGCGGGCACCGTCATGATACTAAGCATCCACCTTAGTGAATAACAAGGGAGCATGGGAAACTTAGCTACTTTGGTTTAATAACCAAATTGATGTTTTTAAAAAGGTAAATCTGGGAAGGTCCAATATGTGTTCTGGATTTTAGATAGACAACGTCTGCAGTTGTTTGGATTTTGCCACAAGCCGGGGATAAGTCAAGGGACTCTATGACTGTGGAGTAGCAGTGTTGATGCTTATGAGGGAGGAGCGAGATAGCCATAAGGCTTCCCATGACCATATGGTGGAACCCATACGCTAGCAGGACCTAGCAGAGTGAGCAACATGGACACTGCACTCAAGACAGCCTGAGTTCAAATTCTGGCCCCTCTTTTGGCAAGCTGTGTGACTCTAGGCAAGTTACTCAACCTCTCTGTGCCTCAGTGTCTTCATCTGTTAAATGGGAGATGAGAATAGTAACCAACACACAGGTATTTACAAGGATTACGTGGATTAATATATGAAGAGTGTTTGGTGCAGAGCTGGCACCATGTAAACATCAACCAAACAGGAACAAGTTACTATTCCACCTTGTTGCCGTAAGTGAAAGTTAGCAGAGGGCTGACGATGCTGAACTGTGAGTATACCACTAGACTAAGAGATTCTCTTCTTCTCTCATGAGAGGACTAGTCCTTCTGTTCTCAGCATGTCCATTTGGCGGAAGTTAATTTTTGGGACCGGAAGTAAGGCAGTCTGTTCAGGGGACATAGATATTGCTGGAGTACATCCTTGTCCAAAATGGCAAATAACTGAAATTGGCCCAAGGGCACAAGGAGACCTTAAGACAGCACTTCTGTGCACCTGAAGACGCTGCCCAGTGACATGGAGCAGCGGGAGTAAAGAGGGGGCAGATTCTGTGTGTGGTGGGTGCATGTGCACTCGCCTACCTGCATGCTTTGTCCCCAAGTTATGGGTCAAGAACAAGGAGCAAGATGTCATCTGCTGAAGAGGTAGGGTATGCGCATGCCTTGTAGTAGAGAGAAGAGAGTGCCTTTTTCTGGTCCCATGCAAAGTAGTCGGTCATTTTTTCTTTGGCAGCCAGGAAAACACCAAATATCTTTGTCAAACCCATATGCAAAGATGTGCTTTTTTAAGAGGACAATAAGACAGAATAAACAATTTAGACTAATGCATACATTCAAGAGCAAATTAATCTGTGTAACTTTTAGAACATTAGAACAGTGATTCAAATTAGTCCTGGGCCCACCCTTACAAGTTAAATCACTGGGCTATATAGAGAAAGAATAACTTATACAGGTAAATACGGGCCGAGTTCTTTCTATGCTCAGATACTGATACACACCCTATACCTAAATTAATGTGTTAAAATTCTTGTGGCAATTTTCCAAATGAGGGGACTAAGGTTCAAGGAGTTAGCATCATGGGACTAATATGTCACAGCTGGTAGGAAGCTGGGTAGAGTTTGAAAGCAAGAAGCTATATGCTTTACAACCAGGTATGCTGCTTCTTTCTTTTTTATGAATATTAGAAGTCATTCTTACTGACTGTGCCCTATGGTAGCAGAGATTCCTGATCTGTGTCCAAATTAAGAGGAGAAATAAGATAATGATTTTGGATTATTTCCACCACTGTCTGCCACCATATTCAGACATGTCATCCAGTTGTGTCAGGGGCAGCTTGAAGGAGTCTGACCAACTGCATAATGATTTCTATGACTTGTTCCAAACACCTTAAACCTTAAAAACAGGGGCCACAGATAAGTCAGTGACGCTTGGGAAATCTGAACATTTGCGGTTTGAGTTGACAGTATCGGGCCTCTGCTTAATCAGAAGCTTTTCCTTTTTGCCTGTATATTTGTGTCTGTGGGTAGACAGAGCTTGTGGTAGTCAGAAATGTGGGGAAATACTGTTGCAAATTCAACACTCCAAAACTATTCCTTGGAAATATTTTTAAAAAACACTGAGACTCCTGCCAGCTTAAATCTAAAGTTTCAGGCACCTGTATCTATGGAATGCATACAGGGGTAGGCAAAGGTAGGTTTAGTTATAATACAAATAAACAAGACAATGTGTAATAAATGATAATACAGGAATAAGTGTACTTTTTGCTTACTCCTGTATATATAAAAATATAGGTATGAAATATATTCATTTCCATAACCAGGTATAATTACTAATGTCACCCATTTAAATACCCATGACTAAGAATTTCGGGGGGCATTTTAAATGTCCCCAAGTATAAAAATAGCCTGCGTTTATCTTGCAATTTTGAATATGCCTCAAAGCTGCAATGAAGACCCTGTCATTGATTTGCTAGGGATGTTTAGCGGGCCAGCCCTGTGTCTGCCTGAGATAGAAAGCCAGACTTATTAGTCATTTCTCTGTATAAGAGGCTGTGTTAATGACACATATCATAATATTCCATAGTATAATTATCGATTTTCTGAAGCTTATGCAGAATTAACAGCCCAGCCTCCAATTGTCTCTCCGAATGGGGCATGAAAAGTTCACATATTTTGTAAATTAAAATCGATATTTTCAATCTCTCCTAAAGGTAATTTTCCTAATTTAGTGGACTTTTCCCTAACATTTATTTTCTCTTTTAATTATAAAATGGCAGGGTATTGATTTCCCTGTATAACCTCCCGACTCCCTGAGTGCATTTTTATTGCTAACGCAGGGTGGGGGTGGGGAGAGCAGTTGAACCTCTTAATGAGGATCTTTAATTACTAGCTTTGTATTAATTTGCTTTGATAAATTATGACATGCGCCCTCCCTCGCCTACACAGTCCAAGGGAGGCATTCAGAAAGCTGTGCAGGAAGGTCTTTCATTTCGGGTGGTTCTTCTGAGCTCTCAGGCCTGGACAAACTCTTAAACACTCACCCGACTCAGCCCCCAGAGCAGGTAGACATAAATCAGCTTAATCCCATGACCCTGTATGAATCTTCTCCGAAGACAAAGTGGTGTTTCCCTGTTATACTAAGCAGCATTGATTACTGTTCCATATGTATCAGCATCTTCAGACTTCCTGAGGCTTATTCTCAAGACAAAAGATTGATAAGTCAATAAAGTAAAATAAAAAGTCCAGATGGGTCTCCAAGACTTTAGCCTGTCTCTGTGTCCATTCCATTTTAGAGTTTAAGGACAACGGAAGGCCCCACATAGAAGAACAGTATCTACAAATGTCTGTTCCCAGGAGCATGCCTCAACTTACTTAGTGTAATTAGAATAGTGTTTCTAAGAATCTCAAGGAGGAAGGCTCAGAGGGGATTTTTACAGTTTTCCCATCTGGGTGAGAGATTCCCTTTGCTTGCTAATAAAAAAGGTTTTTAAAAAGTGGTGTCTTTGAGAGATAATCATGATATCGAGCCCACGAAACTGTTGATCGAAAGCACCTTTAATCTTCATAAATAAGTACAACAAAATCAAAATAAATAACAGAAGGTTATGCAAAGATGTCAACATGGTACTGACAAATGGCAAAGTCATCTGTTTCTCAACTGCCGCTAAGATCGCTGCAAAGCTTAACCGCACTGTATATCATATCTGCCAACTCATTTCTGTGATTAAATATTCCATCAGTGGGGCTCTAAGGCGGCAAACCTTAACAAGATTCATAAGATGCACCACTTGAACACGCATAACTCACTTGCAGGGATGGAGAGCACCCCGCTTGCAAAGGAAAATTGGAATCCAGTTCAATTACTCCACAAGTCGCGATCAATAAGGGAAGGAAAGGACCTTTCAGTGCAATGCAAATCTAAGATATAGTTCGGTCCTGATGACAAGAAACACACAATTCAAGTCCACAGTAGAAAGATACCGAGTAAATTACTCAAAGGCCTTGAAGATGACGATGACAAATTGTCCTAGTGAGACCATTACTATGAGCAGGTTTTGTATATTTTTTGGAGGGGGATGAGGGAAGAGAGGGTCCTGAATGTATAATCCTCCTGAAAATAAAAATTTCTGATTCTAAGGGGCAAAACAATCAATAACAGGTACTTAAAGAAGGGCATACCTGGCTGCAACGTCATATTTGAAAGGTGGTCAGGTCTTGAAAGTAGGTTATCC